ACCAAAATGGTGCCGAAACATCAGAAATACCAGACAATCAGGTTAAACTTAGTAAAAAGACTTTGGCTTTGTTAAATGCAGATCAAAATCCTTCCGAGAATGACGATATTCCAGTTTGGCAAAAGACTACAATGAACCTTTTTTATTCGATGCTCGGCGAAGAGCCTCCAAATTATGTTAATCGCTCTATTCCGCGTCAAATTAAAGAACCTGGGCGCCCTTCGGAAGCTCAGTTATCTGCTCCTTACATTGAAGAACAGCGTCCTGAAAATCCCGACTTTATTAGGCGTATTCCCACTCAAATATTTGAAGCAAATGAGGCAAATGAGGAAAATGAGATCGAAGGTAAGCTTTTCTCACATAAAATGTTATATTAAATATTAAACATTTCAATTTTAATCCATTATATGCTATTTAGAACCTTCTACATCTACACGGAGAAAGAATTTGAGAGCACAGTTAGTTAATGCTGTTAAACTGACAACCGCAAACATAAGATTTGCAAAGGGTGATGGTAGACAATTGCAAGACGTTGGTGATGGTGATAATTTTACATGGTTAACTTCTGTACCGTTTTTATGGTTCAAAAGAGATCCTAAAGGGCGTAAAGCGGTATTAATACTTTATACTTCTATACATGTTGTGACGTATTCCTGGCATTCTTTCGTCAAATTCATAATAAGAACGTCAAGACATTTCAGGAATCGTCATTTTCGTTCTATCAACTTTCAACTTATATTATCATCTGAATATCGGAATCCAGCCTCCCGTCATAATCGATATGCTGAGAGTATGCCGTCTTTTTTTTTTCCTCTCATAGTAAACTTTAAATTAAAATATTAATTCCTATAATCATAACTTATTTAGCTTGCAATCACTGACTCTGAAAGTGATCCGATACACAATTGGCAAAGCATTTTTAGAATCGAATTAGCTTACGGTGATGTTAAATGGGTAGTAAAGCGAACTAGTTTTGATTTTATAACTCTTCATGTTAATCTGACACGAAGACCTGAGCTTTCAAGTTTGGTACCAAAATTTCCTTCCGGAATTTCCAATTGGTTCAAAACTAAGATCTTTCACTCGCGTAAAGATCGTCAAGATATAAATCACTCTGCTGCTCTTGAAAGGCGAAAGGAATTAGAAAAATATCTCATTAATGTGATAAAAAGATTGTGGTTGCACCTTCATGTTTCTTATGAACTTTACGCATTTCTGGAACTTAGTGCGATTTCCATTACTAGAGATATGGGATGGAAGGGTAAAGAAGGTTATATGGAACACAAAGTTGAACGATTTAAACATCCTGTTTGTTCATTTAGATTGGCAAACGAAAAATGGGAACAAAGATGGATTTTAGTTCGCGATTCGTATCCTTACTATAATAAATAAATATATACTATATATATATATATATTTCAGTCTTTTTTTTGTTATATAATTCTCAATAACTTTATTAATATCAATTAGGTATATTGCCTTTTGTTCACACATTAGTTCAACGACTCCTGCGGATGTTTTTCTTATAGATAAACATTTTAAATGTGATAAATTGGAACCAAAAGGACTTTCTCAGATGTTACAAATTCATGAACATATTGAACTTAGAAATAGTTCACGTCGAATTGAAATTAAAACTGATTCACATAGTTCAAAGGATTTCATGGAAAGCATTAATATTATTAAAAAGGCTTCTCCATGGGTTAAACAACATCGGCATGATGCATTTGCTCCC